TTATATAAAAATAATGACCAAATTTTCTACATAAAGTGACGAAATCATTACTAAATTGATTTCTCCTAGAAACCCAATCCATTTTTTACCATTTATCTCCATTGTGGGTTTCCTTTTGATTGAGGCTAAGAAAACCAAAATTTCTAACTCACTTTTTTTCCTTTTCACACCAAACATTGTGAATGGTTGAATGAACATTCGAGTCACATCTTTTGATAAAGAGATCATGTGAGATTGAATGATAAAGTAAATATATAATTGTAAAGGTGGGTTTCATCCTCTAAAATAAATACAAAGGAGCGAAAACAACTCGACTCTAAAGGAGAGGAGCAGAATTCTGAACAAACTAGACATGAAATCTACATTCAGATCATGTTAGAGCCTATCAAAGCCAAAGGGGATGGAGGTTATTCTCGTCTCACATGAGTGGGTAGTCGTAATGTTGTTACACGAGATAAGCAAGTCGCCTATCTGTTGCATAGGCAAATCGAATTTATCTTACGAGTTAATTAATACAAGGTTCACGCACAGGTTTTGGATGAAAAAATTAAACATTGCAAAACTTAAATATCCAGCAGCAAAATAAAATATATTGGCTAATTGGAATAAATAAATAAAAATGGTAAGGAAAATTATGGTATTGCGCCAACTTGAAATCATGGAACTTTTGCATATATAGGAGACTCAAATCGAATAATTAATGATGTTGATTTGTATGAATGTGATCATTTAGGAAGAGGCGAAAATTCAACTGCTATCACCGTCCGGATTTCTTGCTTTGCTATCTATTTGGGGTCCCTAGCTAGCAAGGACGAATCTTCTCCAAAATTTGGTTCTATTTACCCATAAAAAAATCAGCTTGTACCACATCGATTAATTATAAGGGGATTAATGGATTTATAAGGTCAGCTCAACATTTATGATTAAAAGAGCCAGCTAGGCCTAGTTGGGTTATATTTTTGGGCCTAATTGGGCCAACCCCTTCTCCTCTATACGATGGCTGACCCGTCTCCGAGGCCCCCATAGCCGGACGATGCCTCCACCCCTTAGTATGAAATTTTGTCTACAAAAACTAAGTCTTGGAAACAAGACGACACAACGGGGTGCCAAACGACCTGATACCCAAGTAAGAAATTTGGCTAAGTATGGAAAACAAGTCGACACAACGGGGTGCCAAACGGCCGGGTACCAAATAGGAGGCCATATGAAGCAAATGGGGGAAAATTGGCTAAGTATGGAGCCAAGATGGTAACATGCCGGCAAGACGGGCTTGGTACCAAGACATGGAATTTGGCTAAGTATGAAGCTAACGGGGTCGGCAAGACATGCTTGCTAGCCAGGCAATAGGGTACCAGGCAGGCAAGACAGTCTTGGTATTACTACATGAAATTTGGCTAAGTATAGAGCCAAATGGGGTACCAAGCCGGCAAGGTGGGCTTGGTACCAAGACATGGAATTTGGCTAAGTATGGAGCTAAGGGGATACCAGGCGGGCAAGGCAGCCTCGGTGCCAAGACCCCAAGGGGGTATCAAGCCGACAAGACGGACTTGATAGCCAGACATCATGGTATCAAGCCAACAAGACAAGAAATTATACTAAGGCATGGTGACTAGCTGAGGTGGCCACCCAACTATGGATGGATCGACCAGGATGCCGAGCTCAGCCCTTATGAGACCATATGGAGACAAAGTCCAGGACGGGCTTGGTAGCATCTTAACGGGGTACCCAACTGGCAGGGTGCAACTTACCAACTTGACGAGGCTACAAAACTAAGTATGGAGACCAACCCACCAGGACAGGCTTGGTAGCAAGGGGTGTCAAGTTGATTACATGGGCTTGGTTGCATGCCGGAAGGTATCAAGCCGATGAGACGGCTTGATAACAACAAACAAGTTAATGAGGAGGACTTGGTGTCATGAGATGGTAGCGGTCTCAAGACGACAAGAGTGGGGAGTCATCAAGCAGCCGAAGGTGCGAGCAAGACTTCATCATGGAGGCTAAGGCAAATAACCTCAACCCCATCCAGTCATGACAGGGCGACAAGGCTTAACACCAACCCAACCCAACATCGAGACCATCAAGTACCAACCATCCCTAAGACGGGACGAGGCCCCCAAGGCGACGGTTACCAACTAGTCACCAAGGCAGCGACAAGCGGCCCCTAAGGCGGCGGTTGTAGCAAAAGGCCAGCTAGCAGTTACTACGGCGGTTACCAAGGCAGTTACACCCAGTGGCTATAAATAGGAGAAACAAAGACGGGAAAAGGGTTCCACAACCAAAAATTTGACGCACAATGTCAAATTTATCTTTTCTCTGCAAACATCAAACAACCCTTGTTCGAACATTGTTCGAAGAGGAGTGAACCGTGTTATTAATCATTGTTTGAAAAGTCAAGGTGCATTCATTGTGTTCAAACACCAGATTTTCCTCGCCGGAAAACAAATTGGCACACCTGGTGGGACTCTGTGTATCTGATTTGATTGCTCCACGACTGAGAGAACAGTAAGTTGATATTTCACCAGGAGTTGTAAAGGAGTTGGCGACCAAGTTCAAATTTGGCCAAGCATCTGTAAGTGTTGTCAGAAACAATGGCATGATTCAGATATTGCCACCGGCGACACCTTCTGCCGATGTAACCACCACTGCCATGTCACTCCGCTCAATAGTGGATGATAACTGTAAGATGGTGGTGGAGAACCGTCAAGTGATGGTGGAGATTCGTCGATTGATGGAAGAGAGTTTGAATGGACCTGTTAGACGTTCACAACAGACAAGTCTAAAACTTGCTTCTTTTAGTTCTATGTTAGATAGACGTTTGAATGAATTGCTTGAAGCAACTACAGAAAATACAAATTGCTTGGATAAGTTTAAAAAATATTTTATAGAACCAGTGGTATGAGAAATTTCTTTACCAAAAAATGCTATACATCCGCCACCAAGTATTGCTACTGAGTATACAAGTATCTTGTTTTCCAGTGGCCGGACTACCCAGCCACGGTCAGGGAACTTACCGGCTCCGGCAATGAGTCAACCACCTCTTCAACAAGGCGGTTATGACAAGAATATTACTAACACATTCACCACCCATGTAAAGCAACCGCCGCCTGTGCAGACAGTTACTCTAAAAACTGTCTCAGAGGCTAGACCATTCTTGAACATGAGAGTTGGTGGAGGGTCACTAGCTATAGATGTGCTACCACAAGTTTGCCCAACCTCATTGGCATCGATGCTTAAACGGTCTGGTGGATGCAAACCACCAGGGGGCATGAAGAGGTGTATGGAAGCCTACCACCTGACAAGTTGAAGATGAAGAGTCAGGCTGGGGGCAAGTTGATGTCAAGAAAGGTGAACAAAATGGTGTGTCCAACAGAACACCATATTTGTTTCCTAAGGATTGCATGGGGGGCATATCTCCATCTCCATGCAGTGGGCAGGGGGCATGTCATCAGACATGAAGGATGGAGTGAGTTGCAAGTCTAAGTGGGTGTTGCCTACCCATGCCATCTATAATTTTCATAACTTTGACAACGTGACAAAGAGTGCACAAGGAGGCAAGGCCCCTTGTAGCATGCCACCCATGAAGGGTCGACAAGGGGGCATATCATCAAACCACAAACAATAGAAAGACACACATGCCCAAGAAGCCACAACAAACCCAAGTCACACATGCTTGTAGTAAGAATGGTAGTGAAGTTGAGTTTGGCAAAGGGGGCACGTCAAAAACCATGAACAAGGCTATGGGGGCATGTCTCCAACCAGTGGAAAGGGGGGCATGTCACCGACAGTGAAGAAACGAGTGGAGAACAAGTCTAGGAGTGTTCATCACACCCAACCCACTCAAAAAAATTATAAGTATGAGATGGCGTTAAGGGATGGGCGAGGAAGCAAGTCCATGCCTAAAGCCCCCCATTGCATGCCAAACATGAATGGCAAACAAGAAGGTATGAATAAGACATCTCGACACACACCAACCAATCATGGTCCTATAAAGAATCAAGGGTTGTTATGTGTTAAGTGTAAAAACCATGAAGACATGGGTTTTAGAAAGAGTCAAGTTGGCCACAAGAGTAAGCATGTGCCTTGTTGGGGTAAAATAAGACAGATGACAACTCTTGGCCCCTTTGATGAGTCGAAGGAGTTGAAATGTCTAGTGCACCACCCAGGACGAGACAAACACATCGGGTTCAACATCAACCCAACATGCCTAGTAAGGTGGCCAAGGCAGTGGATCATGGGACCCCTTGCAATCCCACTAAGACAGGACAAGTTGAGAGGGTGTCATCCATTGTTAAGTTGGAAAATTTGAAACCAACACTGAATGAGTTGTTTTCCCTAACGGAGGGAAGACAAGTAGTGTATGGATGGTTGGTCTGGTTTAACTCATGGACTTGGCAGTGGCTGAACACCTTTGGCACGTTGGTGGGTGCCAAAGGGTATGTATATTAGTGATGTTTGTCACTCTCTTCTATATTAAAATAAATAAATAAATATAATATAATATTAGTACAAAAAAAGAAGAGAAAAGAAAAATGAAAAGCCAATCATGGCTAAAAAAATACGAGGTCGAAGTGTCAAGTTTTAGTCAGATTTGTGATGTGAGAACCTGGTCATAACTGATAAGCCACACTCATGTGGTAGCTGGATCCATGCCATTTACATGGCATGAGCAGGTGATTCGTTGTCAGCGTAGACCCTTTATTGTCCAGGCCACCTGATGCAGCGTGTGTGGGTAAAGGTAGAGCCTATCGCAACTCGTTGATTCCACGAATGCCCGAGAGACGATATATGCGAGGAAAGCTCCTCTTTTCTTCTTTTATTTCACTTCCGAAAAAACTAACTCCAAACACAAAGACAGACAGCCTTTATAGAGAAGGCTAACAAGAATCCAAATCCAACTTAAACAAAGAAAAAGGTACCGACAAAAGGCCAACAATTATGTAATGGTCAATAATAAAAAAAAAAATAATAAAACAAGCTTGGTACATTGCATGGTTTCCGTGTCAATTATGGACGTCCTCGACGTCCCCATCATTCTCCCCTGGGTCGAAAAGATTCGCCCTCGAATCGGTGCCGCCATTGTCTTCATCGGACGATGACTCTTCAGAAAAGGGAATGAGGTGCTTCACATTGAACACATCAGAAGTGCGGACATGACCAGGTAAGCGCAGACGATACGCATTGGGGTTGATCTTCTCGACGATCTCAACCGGACCAAGCTTCTTGGAGGCGAGCATGCTATAGTCACGAGCAGGGAACCGATCTTTGGTGAGGATGGCCCAGACGAAGTCACCCACCTTGAAGTCAACCGCACACCGGTGGCGGTCAGCGGCAACCTTGTAGGCTGCTGTAGAGGCCACCAAACGATCATGGGTGGTACGATGGACGTGGGAGAGCTGTTCAACAAATTCGGCAGCTGTCGCATGGTTACGGACCTTGCTGGGGAGACTGAGTAAATCGAGAGGCCCTCGAGGAAGGAGCTCGTAGACAACCTGGAAAGGAGACATGCCGGTTGAGCGATTAACTGCCCGATTATGCGCAAATTCAGCCTGCGGAAGCTTGTGATCCCAAGCTTTGGGGTGATCCCCAACTAAACTCCGCAAAAGATTACCTAACGAGCGATTAACAACCTCGGTCTGGCCATCAGTTTGCGGATGGTATGCACTGCTAAAGTTCAATTGTGTATTGACCATACGCCACAAACTCCGCCAAAAATGACCAACAAACCGAGAATCACGATTAGAAACAATCGAAGCAGGGAGTCCATGCTGGCGATAAATGTCACAAAAATAAAGGTGGGCCACCGCCACAGCATCAGGCGTCTTTTTACATGGCAGGAAGTGAACCATCTTGGAAAAGCGATCAACAACGACGAAGATAGAATCCGATCCACGCTGGGTGTTGGGAAGGCCAAGAACAAAATCCATGCTTACGTCGGACCACGGCTGCGACGGAATAGGCAGGGGAAGATATAGGCCGGCATTAGTGGCGACCCCTTTTGCCAAGTGGCAGACGCGACAACGCGCCACGAACCGACCGACCTCCTTACGCATAGATGGCCAAAAATATGATGCGGAGAGGAGTTGAAAGGTACGATCCCGACCCACATGACCTTCGTTGTGAACCTCCTGGAGCATTTTTTAAACGGAGGCTGCAAGTCGGGATGCATAGTTGGACACCTCGGAAGAGGAAACCATCTTCCAATACAAAAACCGTTGAATCCCCTTGCTGTATACGATCCAAAATCTGGGGAAAAAGGGATCAGCCACATAAAGCTCCAGGAAGGAATCGAAGCAAGGGACTTGCACGCGCATCTCGGCCAGCAGGCAACTACAGTGGCTCAACGCATCCGCGACACGGTTCGAAACCCCAGCCTTGTCTTTAATGACGAAGGTAAACTGTTGTAAATATGAGACCCACGAAGCATGGAGATGAGATATCTTGTCTTGATCGCCCAAGTGCTTGAGGGAGTCATGATTGGTGTATAAAATGAACTCACGATGAAATAAATAGTGTCGCCAATGCTTGATGGCTTGAACTACCGCATAGAACTCAACATCATACGTGATAAAACGAAGCTTGGCGCCGGCCAACTTTTCAGTGAAGTATGCTATGGGACGACCAGCTTGGCTAAGAACTGCACCAATCCCTGTCTTAGACGAATCGCAATGCAACTCAAAGGGTTGGCCAAAATCCGGGAGAACCAGAATAAGGGCGGCTACTAGTCGCTGCTTAATTTCAAGGAATGCAGCCTCGGCATCTGGTGTCCACTGGAACGTAGATCCGCGGATACAATCCGTCAAAGGAGCCATGATGCCGCTAAAATGAGGAATGAATCGCAGGTAAAATGAGGCAAGACCATGAAAACTGCGGACCTCTGTGATCGATGACGGGCGTGGCCATTGCGCCACAGCCTGAACCTTACTAGGATCAACTTTGAGGCCGTCTCGCGAGACCACGTAGCCTAGGAACTGGATGGATGGAGTGAGGAATGCACATTTGGTTGTGGCCGCATAAAACTTCTCGCGACGTAGAACCATTAGTACGTCACGGAGATGCTCGAGATGAACCTGGGCATTGGCACTATAGATCAATATGTCATCGAAATAAACGACAACACACTTACCAATAAATGGTCGTAGAACTTGATTCATCACGCGCATGAATGTGTTTGGCGCGTTGGATAGGCCGAAGGGCATAACGAGCCACTCGAACAAACCCTCTCGAGTTTTGAACGTCGTTTTCCATTCATCGCCCATGTGGATGCGAATCTGGTGATACCCACTCTTCAAATCAAGCTTACTGAACACAGAGGCACCCCCCAGCTGATCGAGTAAATCGTCGAGGCGGGGAATGGGAAAACGATAACGAACTTTGATTTTGTTGATGGCTCGGCTATCAACGCACATGCGCCAGGACCCATCTTTTTTCGGCGTGAGCAAAGCGGGTACGGCGCAAGGACTGAGACTCTCCCGAATGTGGCCCTTGGATAAGAGGTCCTAGACCTGGTGACGGAGCTCTTCGTGCTCTTGAGGACTCATTCGGTAGTGTGGACGGTTGGGGAGGGCCGTACCGGGAACTAGGTCGATATGGTGCTGGATGTCACGCAACGGTGGCAGCTCACTGTGCAGGCTTGCCGGGAACACATCGGCAAACTCTTGTAATAGTAGTTGAACGGACTCGGGGACAAAAGTTTGTTCTCCATTCGCCTGTAATGTGCAACACACGACGAGGACCATGCCATCTTCTCTCATTGCTTCTTGAAACAGCCCCCTAGACAACAGGGTAGTTGGGGATAGCACTTTTTGAGAGGGAGTAGGTCCACTCTTAGGCTAAGCTGGCATTAGCACAATTTTGGTTCCCCAGAACAGGAACGAATAGGTATTAGCACGCCCGTCATGGATAACTGAATTGTCATACTGCCACGGTCGGCCAAGGAGCAGGTGGCACGCGTCCATGGGAACCACGTCACAATAGACAGCATCGCGATATGTTGCACCCACTGAGAAATTCACAAGTACCCGTTTAGACACAGTTACGTCCGTACCTTGGCTAAGCCAGGAAAGACGGTACGGTTTAGGACGATCCTCTGTTGCCAATCCCAGTTTGGACACCGCCACTTCAGCTATCACATTATCACAACTGCCGGCATTGAAAATGAACGTGCATACCTTACCACCTATGGTGCGCGTGGAATGGAAGAGATTATTCCGCAACCACTCGTGGTCCGGGACGCGCGGAGTCAAACAAGATCGACGGAGCACGAGCAGAGGCCCCACATCACCCGAGACGACTTCTTCCGCCTCTTCATACGTGTCGTATACCGGTTGAGAGAAGCCACGGTGGTTTCGTCGGAGAAAAGCCCACGTGTCACCGCCTTCGGATTCCGACACTCTGCTTGGCGATGCCCGGCTTCGCTGCAACTAAAACACCGCAATACTCCTGTACGCCCTTGTTGGTTGCTGGGCGCGTTCCGCCATAATGGGGGATTATTTCCTTCGCGCGCTGGTGGGGGGTAGAGGTTCAGGTCTGCTTGAAGTACCGAGTGGTGGCCTGAAATTGCTAATGCCACGTCGAGCTAGCTGTCTCTCGGCTTGAGTTGCCCGTTGCTGAGCTTTCGCGACGTTCACCGGATCAAACATGTTCAGTACGTCCTGCAGCTGTAGGCGCAATCCACCAATATATCGGGAGACCAATTGTAAAGGAGAGTCATTAATATCGACCCGCGCCAAGAAAGAGTAGAATTCCGTCGAATACTCGTCTACCGTGCGAGTACCCTGGCGGAGATTCTGGAATCGCTGGTACAATTCCCGATCAAAGTTATAAGGCAAAAATGCCGACCTCAAGTGCTTCCTGAACTTGCTCGAGCCCGTCATCTTCTCCTTGCCTTGCCGAGTCCTGGTGAGTTTCAACTGTTGTCACCGTGCCTGTGCACAGCCATGTAATCGGGTCGTGACCAAAGAAACACGCCGATCATCGGGAACTTCCTTGAAGTCCAGAATTTCCTCAACCTGAGATAGCCAGTCGATCACTTCTTCCGGCTTCATGCTGCCATCGAACTGGGGAATTTCCACCCTAAAGCCCTGCTCCCACCGGTGGTTGGGACGCTCAGGGGACGGGTTCCGCAGCCTAGCGAAGGGGTTTTCGTCGATGATGGTAACGTCATCATATTGGCGTTGCATCTGTACGACTTCGTCTATCCGCTGTGTCAAAATCTCCACCTGGCGCCGTAGCTCGTCGTTGTCGCGGCGAATGTCAGCGTTCTCACGTCGCAACTCAGCAAAGTCGGCATCCTCCGCGATCGCAGGTCGCGCCGTCCTGCGGGGCGGCATCCCTCCAATCAACCAGGCTCTGGATACCAATCTGATGCAGCGTGTGTGGGTAAAGGTAGAGCCTATCGCAACTCGTTGATTCCACGAATGCCCGAGAGACGATATATGCGAGGAAAGCTCCTCTTTTCTTCTTTTATTTCACTTTCGAAAAAACTAACTCTAAACACAAAGACGGACAGCCTTTATAGAGAAGGCTAACAAGAATCCAAATCCAACTTAAACAAAGAAAAAGGTACCGACAAAAGGCCAACAATTATGTAATGGTCAATAATAATAATAATATAAACAAAACAAGCTTGGTACGTTGCTTGGTTGTCGTGTCAATTATGGACGTCCTCGACGTCCCCATCACCACCCGTCCAAGGAGGCCTTCTTGTCGTAAGAGGATGGGATGCTACATGATCGATTAATCAATGGCAAGTATCTCAAGACTTATATCCCTTCTCTTTGGGACGTGAGGTGTCAAGGGGTTCAATGTTGGGTGGCCACCATGGTGGCCGGCAATGCCAAGCCTCCCACACCCTAAGACATGGCATGATACCCTCGTGATAAAGCATGGCTTGAGTAGCTAGCCATGACATGGAAAGGAAATTGAGCTAGTTAAGTTTTACTTCCTTCTGCCGGTGCCTAGCATTCTATAAAAGGCTATGGGTGCATGGCTTTGTAATCAAAGCTAAAATTTGGCTAAGGAAGGTGGTGCCGAGATAAGTATTATTTTTAGGTGGTCAAGTTGAGTTCAACAACTTAGTGCATAATTCTTATACACTAAGTTGTGGGGGCATTTATTTACCCATAAAGAAATCTGCTTGTACCACATCGATTAATTACAAGGGGATTAATGGATTTATAAGGCCAGCTCAACATTTATGATTAAAAGATCCAGCTGGGCCTAGTTGGGTTAGATTTTTGGACCTAACTGGCCAACCCCCTTCTCCTCTATACGATGGCCGACCCGTCTCCGAGGCCCCCATAATCGGACGATGCCTCCACCCCTTAGTATGAAATTTGGCCTACAAAAACTAAGTCTTGGAAACAAGGCGACACAACGGGGTGCCAAACGACCGGATACCAAGCCTGGTACCAAATAAGGGGGGCAAACAAGAGGGTATCAAGCCGACAAGGCAGGCCTGATACCCAAGTAAGAAATTTGGCTAAGTATGGAAAACAAGGCGACACAACTGGGTGCCAAACGGTCGGGTACCAAATAGGAGGCCATATGAAGCCAATGGGGGAAAATTGGCTAAATATGGAGCCAAGATGGTAACATGCCGGCAAGAAGGGCTTGGTACCAAGACATGGAATTTGGATAAGTATGAAGCCAACGGGGTCGACAAGACATGCTTGCTAGCCAGGCAATAGGGTACCAGGCAGGCAAGACAGTCTTGGTATTACTACATGAAATTTGGCTAAGTATAGAGCCAAATGGGGTACCAAGCCGGCAAGGCGGGCTTGGTACCAAGACATAGAATTTGCCTAAGTATGGAGCTAAGGGGGTACCAGGCGGGCAAGGCAGCCTCGGTACCAAGACCCCTACCAAGGAGATAGGGTACCATGACCCCAAGGGGGTATCAAGCCGACAAGACGAACTTGATAGCCAGACATCATGGTATCAAGCCAACAAGACAAGAAATTCGACTAAGGCATGGTGACTAGCTGAGGTGGCCACCCAACTATGGATGGATCGACCAGGATGCCGAGCTTAGCCCTTATGAGGCCACATGGAGACAAAGTCCAGAACGGGCTTGGTAGCACCTTAACAGGGTACCCAACTGGCAGGGTGCAACTTACCAACTTGACGAGGCTACAAAACTAAGTATGGAGACCAAGCCACCAGGACTGGCTTGGTAGCAAGGGGTGTCAAGTTGATTACATGGGCTTGGTGGCATGCCGGAAGGTATCAAGCCGATGAGACGGCTTGGTAACAACCAACAAGTTAATGAGGAGGACTTGGTGTCATGAGATGGTAGCGGTCTCAAGATGACAAGAGTGGGGAGTCATCAAGCAGCCGAGGGTGCGATCAAGACTTCATCATGGAGGCTAAGGCAAATAACCTCAACCTCATCCAGTCATGACAGGGCGACAAGGCTTAACACCAACCCGGCCCAACATCGAGACCATCAAGTACCAACTAGCCCCAAGACGAGACGAGGCCCCCAAGGCGACGGTTACCAACTAGTCACTAAGGCAGCAACAAGCGGCCCCTAAGGCGGTTGGAGCAAAAGGCCAGCTAGCAGTTACTACAGCGGTTACCTAGGCAGTTACACCCAGTGGCTATAAATAGGAGAAACGAAGACGGGAAAAGGGTTCCACAACCAAACATTTGACGCACAATGTCAAAATTTATCTTTTCTCTGCAAATCAGCTTTTAGTTTTTCGGAGCTCTCATTGAACCTCCATAGGAGTAGAGTAACTTAGATTGTTCCCAAAAACCATCAAAAAACATCGAACACCCTCGTTCGAACATTGTTCGGAGAGGAGTGAACCGTGTTATTAATCGTTGTTCGAGAAGTCAAGGTGCATTCATTATGTTCAAACACCAGATTTTCCTCGCCGGAAAACAGGTTCTAATTAACGTAAGACAACAATATTATCGATTATCTATCATATTTTCTTATGAATGATTGGAGGGAACCAAGTACAATTGTACAAGTCATCATTGTTTATTTAACAACTTAATCAATATGCAAACTTTTCCCCCTTGCGCTTAATCGTTAGTTATGTGCATGTTTCTATCAATAAAGAAACACGAACTAACAACCATCATCGATGATCATCATATCCTACCAGCCACCCCAAAAATATTTTACGCTAAATCATTGCGGCTTGTACAAGCTAAGTGATCAGATGTGTGTACAAATATATATTGTCAATTTGTCATTAAGAATAAGAAATGTGGACTTTAGGCCATAACCCATGCATGATTGCATTTGCACGGTATAGACCTTGTGTATTTATTCTTCTACTTATTGTTGGTTACGGCAGACAATAAGATCAGTACGTAGCTAGAGAAGTTAAGCTCTTACATGTAGAGCTGAGAATCCGATCTCGGTTTTCCGGCCGAACTGGAAACCGGACAGTTTAAACCGTCCCGGTTGCTGGATTTTCAAACACTAATTCAATTGTCGGTCGCTAGCTGCCTGGGAAAAATCGGCCCGGTCCGGTCCGATTTAAAACTGGAAAATAGTTTGAAACCGATTGATAAATTCAGCCCAGACCTCAGGCCACTAATGACTAGCCCATGACCATCCCTTGACCTGACCCATGTTTCACAAGCCCACTCGGTCAGGCCCACAATTCACCTCCCACTCCCAGCTCGCACCCGACAGCCCATTCCAGAATCCACCAACTCGGCGAAACCCTAATCGTAATCGATCCTCCCCCCCCCCCCTCCATTTACTTGTAACCTCCTCCACCTCCCTCTGGCCACTGTTGTGCCTGGTTGCTCTCGCCGACTCGCCCTCTAGAAGATCTCCACCTTTCGGCGGCGGCGACGATAGACGACCGACGGCAAAGCAAGGCGGAGGCAGCATCTATCTGTTCCCCTCCATCTCCTCTCTTTTCACACCTTTGCGATCTTCCTTCGCATTCGAGGAGCAGTCTAATCGCTAGTTATGTCAATTAGGAATATCACGTAAATCAATCGTATGATCGTTTCTATAACATTCCGATATAACTCTCCCGCACATTCAATTAGGATGAATTTTGTTAACGACCACCCTGTTCACTGAATTACCTACATATTGGCTTTCTCTTTGAAATTTTTTGCCTCATATCTTATTCTTAATACAAAATTATTAATAATATAGATAAGAAACGATGGCATGCTTGCGTTTTAAATAAGAAAGAGAGACATGCATGCATGTTATGTTACGGAAGATGGATCAAGCTACGAAATTATGATGCAATTATATATTATATGAGACCTGACAACAACACAACGTGGATGATGCAAAGGACATGGTCTTTTTTGTATTTGGATCCATATAAATCCAAATCATGGTTGCATGTATTTTTTGTTTGCTAGCTAGTAGTTGAATTAGGGTTATGCCAACAGACTGGACAATATGAACGTGCATGGCCGGCCAGGGCATCTCCCACTTTTTTCACTAATAAGAATGTTTTGGATAATGGAGGACAATTTTAGATTATAATCCATTAAAAAAAATTAACTTTTTTGGATTGTTTGTCAAAATATTTTAAAGCGCTTGTTGTTTGGTAATTATTGTTGTTAACATTTAATTAAATATAGAGATTTTAATATTTTATCAATTAACATGAATACTTTAGTTAAAAAATTAGATTGGCTCGCGAAAATTGAGAAATTATTGGTAAAGTATTTGGTAGCATAAATAGAAAAGTAAGGGATAGAGGAGGAGGAAATATATATATAAAATCAAGATATAAAATCTCTCTAATTATAAGAGATTTATTATCTCTATATTTTAAAGATTTGAAAATTTGAAGTTGATGTACACGATACAAAAACATAAAGAAAATATGATTTTTCTACGGCATATATGGTTCATTGAATTGTATCCCAAACTCTATCCTCCAAGCGATCCTAATATTATTTTCTTTTCCAAAACAAAAAAATTTAACTCAATTTCCATGCGTCTCAAAAGAGCTCTTTCTCTATCGAGTGTGTGTCTATGTCTCGACGCGACACCATCGTCTCCAAATGTAACTGTCTTGTTGTGATGATGGTGTTAGATTATATTTTCCTCCAGGCAATGGTCCTCTGACTTATCTTAATTGGAGCCTCCGCCACCCAAGGGCGGAGCTACTCAGAGAGTAGGGTGGGTCTCGGCCCATCCGGATATAGTCTTGGCCCCTAGGACCGTAAGGATATTAAGATAAAATTTATATAAGTAGCGTTCGACCTATACATTGTATTACATAATTATCATGTATTCTACTGGTAACTAAGCTAAATTTTTAGCCTAAAGCAAATAGGTTCGATCACAACAACCTCATTTTTGCTTTAACTTCTTTTTGGACTT